CCAAACACATGTAATTCGCCTCAGCCCTGTGTTCCTGCGTTTTTGACCTGTATATCTCTATATAATGATGTATACTGCTGTATACAATATATATACAACCCATTTCTGGCATTTCGAGACCTATGTTTCAGCTTCCTTAGCCTGTAAGTTAGCTTCTCTTCCCTTGTATTCTAGCTTCCCATCAATTTGAGCAATAACGACGACCGACTCGATAAAATAGGAGTGTTGGGTTTCAACCCAACTCGAGATGCAAGGAATGAAGGAGAGGGTCCGATGGACCCAAATTGAGGAAGGTCATGCACAAAATAAGAAATGATAAGAATTAGTAACTAATCAAAATTGAACACTCACTAAAGTAGCTATGTATGTAAAATAGTAATAAGATAAATTTCCTCACAATAACATGACCAACATTAACAACTCTTAGATGGATAGATATGCAAAGAATCAAGAATTAAGGAAGTGAAACTAACAAAGCTTCACAGTAACTTTGATGCACACTGGGATTGAAGAAGTTAAAGGCACCAAACCAAACTTCATGTGGCTTTCCAAAGGAAACAACCGAATGACAAATCTCAAAGAGTACATCGATGGTTTCAAACCCGTGCTTATTAAAATTACCTTATTTCAACACGACTGTCAATATTCGATCTTAATTCACAAATAAACTAACATCATGTAATTTTCGACTCTAAATCATGTTGAAATCCTGTTCACGAGTCAAAACATAAATCTAACATATATGATTCCCAACATGACAAAGTACAATTTCATGAAGAGAGTAAAATGATCTAACAACAAACGAGGGGACAAGAGTTGCCTGGGAACATAAAAGAAAAATACAAAAAAAATATAATAATAAAATAAGATGGCATGAATTGAAAAGAAGCTTCAATAATGAAGGAGACAATTGGATTTATACCAATATCCTGTATTAAGCAAAGAAGGACAAATAACTACCCATATCAAGACAAGTGTTAAGATTTTTGGGGAAAAAGACCACAATAACTTTACACTTATATATATACACATAAACACCAACTACAATATAAAAACAAGATAAAATAATTTTTGGCTAATGTTATCACACGAGTCACATTTGCACGCCAATGATTTAATAAATCATAGTAATTCAATTCAAACGAGCTTACACTAAATTTGTAGCACACCATATCTTATCAACAAGAGGAGTAACATTTAGCTAAATTCGAATGCTAAAACGACAACTAGGTATCACCATTATGGGAGCCAAAAGCGAACAACAACAACATGATCAAAATTCAAAAAAATTCAAACAATGTGAACACGAGATGAAGAGGAATTTAACAAAAAACAAGAATGATATTACCTTTTTCTGGGCAGCGAACTGAGACAACGAGTTTAACCACGAAGAACTACCACCACTGTGAGCCTGCTTCGATGGGTTTCGAAAAATAAAATAACTTTGAATTCTAATAAAGGAGACTCAAACTCTCTGTTCTTTTTTTTTTTTACTCTTTCCGGTTGTTTTTTTTTTATATTTTTTTTTATCAATTTTCCTCTATTTCCCCCTCTTTTTTAGTGATCAAAAGAGATGAATATATACATGGAAATTAGGGGGAAATTGGGTGAAATTTCTCATTTCAAATTCAAATTTCTTGCTCCTTTTCAAGGCCAACATGGAGCAACTGAGTTTGGTATGAAATTTCTCCAAAATCCCAGAAAATCCGATCCAGCAGGGCCGCTGCCTACACCTGCTTTTGACATTTTGGACTGCTGCTGCTATTGTTGAAATTAGAAGGGAAAAAGGGGGTGGGGCCGGTTGGTTGCTGTTGATGTATTGTAAGTAGTGTTGTTTGGAATTGTATGTATTGTATGCATTGTATGTTAGAAGTCAAAAGGGAAAAAGAGGTGGGGTCAGTTGTTGTTATTATTTTATTGGAAGGGGTCGGTTGGTACATGTATTGTATTGTTAATGTTGGGTGCTTCTTGAATTAGGAAATAGGTGGGCCAGGGGTTATTAAAAGGGGATTAGGAAAAACTTAGCCAATTTGATTTAGTTAAAATAGGCTTGACTAGTAATTAAATAAGACAAATTGATATTAATCAAATAACGAGCTTCTTAATCTTAATAAAATAAAATAATTAACTTAATTATAAACGACTAAATAACCAAATAAAATAAAGCTAAAATCCTTTTGAGACAATTTTCGAACATTCATAAAATATACTAATTAGACACATAATTCTATAAAATATCACATTTATTATTTTAAAATTTATAAAAATGACAAAACTACTTAAAATGACTTGAAAATTATTTTGAATTTTATAAAGACAATTATTTCAAACCATTTGGAATTTAAGAAGTTCGATGATTAATTTATATTGTGGAGGTCCAAAATTGGATGTCAACACTCGTGACAAACACACTATAGTCTAAAGTACACTTAAATAATTTATCAGGGTAGAATGGTTGAGGTAGGAAAAGAATTCCTACCAAGAGATAAGACACAAAAAAAAATGTTCAATTTTTTTTTATATAAGTAAATGATTGTCATTACTGAATCACAAAATCGTAGTAAAAGATCATAATGCATGCAGTTTAAATAAAATTAATCTAATGCTTCACTATAAATATCAATCATTACTTGAAAGTTTCTTAAACTGTAAATTCGTTGAAGATTTGTGGATAAATCTCAAAGAACAATAAATTAAGAGAAGTAAGTTATAATTTTCTCATCTAGTCAAATCATAATGTTTCCCCCTCTTTGTTACATATTTATATTTATCTCACTTGAAGCTTAATAGGACTTATGAGCTTCCTAATTAAAGTCTAAGGAGTGTAACTATTTTTTTCTTACAATGCAAAACACAAAACTGGATTAAAAGTTTTAACTGATATTGTTAATTTAAAATAGGGAAAAAGGACAAATATACCCCAAACTATCGTAAATGGTATGCAGATACCCTCCGTCATATTTTTGGGACATTGGTGCCTCTGCCGTAAAAAAACTAGAGCATATATGCCCTTCACTCTAACGGAAGACTAAATAGGGACACGTGTCACAATCTTATTCGTTGATAAATGTCGGATCGATGGATAAGATAATGACACGTGTATGTTCGTTAGTATAAAGGGTATATATGCTCTAGTTTTTGGACGGCAGGGACACCAATGTCTCAAAAATATGATGGAGGATATTTGCATACCATTTACGATAGTTCGGGTATATATAGTTGTCTTTTTCCCTTGAAAATATTTATCAATTGTTGCCTAACCTCCACAATTTATCATTTTTTTAATAGTGGAGATGTGAGTGGAAGAGTAATGGTAATTGATTAAAAGACTTGAACAACAACCATTAAAGATAAAAATAATTTTCATTAAAACTAAGGGTCGTTTGGTAGAGTGTATTAGGAAAAATAATGCATGTATTAGCCTTGTGTATTATTGGTACCTTGTTTGGTACTCGTTTTCAACTTATGTATAACTAATGCTTGCATTAATTATACACTCTATTGTGTATTAAGGAGTGCATTGCTAATACCATGGATTTCTAGGTATTAGCAATGCAATGGTTTTAATGCATGCATTAATGTGATAAAAGATCCACTTACCCCTCAAAACCTTTTTTACATCTTTTTCACCATAAAAGTCAAGGGTATCTTTGTAAATAATTTTTTTAATGCCATACATACTATTTTTAATGCATCAAACCAAACAATGCATTAAAATAATCTATGTATAATTAATGCAAGTATAACTAATACATGCATTGCTAATGCAAACATTACTAATACACTTTAGTTAGCATTATTCTTATACACTCTACCAAACGACCCCTGAGGGTTTACAAAACTAAACCGTAAAAAAAGATAATGGGCCAAAGATCTGTCACATTATTAGACCATAGTCCATAATTATAATATAGTTACATTATATTCAACTCTTCAAATTATGACATTTCAAAAAAAAATAATCAAAAATATTAAGTGGTGAAAAACATTTAGACTCAAGTGCATATAGTGTACACACAATATTCATCGAACCCTAAATCAAATATCAAATGTAAAGTAAATTTTGGGTAAATTAGAAACTAAGTATAAAATTATCTATTAATTTCATAAAATGGACAAGTATTGTTTGACATTCTAAAATAGTACATGAACAACTATTATTGGCCGGATAAAGTAATATAGTACTTAAAATCTTAGTAATTGGTTATAAAGTTCTAAAATTTAGGACCACCTACACAGTTTGGTGCCCTGCCTATGCCTACCCATATTTTGCTCATCTAAATGTTTGGCAGCTGCTGAAAATAAATGTAGAAGAAAAAGCAAATCAAACCAATTGAAGCTCATTGCCATTTCATTTGGTCGGCAAACCAACGGGCCAAGAAGCTCATTTACTCAAGAAGTGTCATTAATGTTATTTGTAGGGTTATTTTTATTTTTTCAGATTTTTTTTATGTATTTAATACTAATTTTTTTCAACGAAGCAGTGCCGATTAATACCCCATGACATAAGGTGGGTCCGGCCCTGAACAAAAGTAAGTATTAGAACGTTGAGCGATGTATCGGGACAAATGTATCTTGTATAACAAAGAAGATATATTGAAACATGATGTATCGGGACGTTGAGTGATATATCGGGACATGTGTGTCTTGTACCAACAAAGGTAATGTATCGGGACGTGAGTAATGTATTCGAAATCCTTAAATTTTAAGGGATTTTTTTAATTTGAAAAAAAGTAAGGATAAGATGTAATTAGCTCTTAACATTATAAGATTGATATATTTTTCACTAAATTTTTACCTAATTAGTCTCTAGCTACTTATTTGTAACCTATGAAGTTTAATTTTCTAGAGTGCACTATTTATAAGTGGCAACTCCTAAGCTTACGCACACATTTAATAGGTTAGTCTAAATAATTTATTGCTTATAAATTAGTTGTCTTTGTTCATCTACATATATAGTTGTATAGTAATGTACAAAACACACTGCATAATTTCTTGCATATTTCAAACACATTTGTATCAAACAATATGAGTAGTGTATCAAAACTTGTATCCTCAGTTTGTAAAAAAATAATCAAACCATATTCACCTACTCCAATTTCACTTCGTTGTCACAAACTCTCTTTTCTTGATCAAATAATTTGTTGCATTCATACCCCTGTTGTCCTTTTTTACCCTAAATTGAGTAACACATGGTCAAATAAACCAAGTAATTATATATCTCAACATCTTGAGAAATCCCTTTCAAAAGTTTTGACCAATTATTATCCATTGGCAGGGGAGTTGAATGACAATATTTCTGTTGATTGTAATGATAATGGAGTTGAATTCTTCACTACAAAAATAGATTGTCCAATGTCTCAAATTCTCAACGACCCTTATGCTGATAAACATAATATAGTCTATCCGAATGGAGTTCCTAATGCGTATTCATACAAGGGTAGTCTTGCAGTGTTTCAACTTAGTCACTTTAATTGTGGCGGAATTGCAATCAGTATATGTTTTTCACATAAGATTGCGGATGGATATACATTATGCAACTTCACTAACCATTGGGCTACTATAGCGCGTAATCCTATGAGTTCAGAGATATTACCAATGGCTCCTCAATTTAATGGAGCGTCTTATTTTCCACCTATAAAAGAGGATTTGTCACAAACAACATTCATTCCCGAACTAGAAACAGAAAAATATTCAATCAAAAGTTTTTCTTTCTCGTCCTCCAAATTAACCGCGTTGAAAGCTAGGGTTATTAATCAATCAGAAGTACAAAATTCGACTGATACAGAAGTTGTGTCAGCATTCATTTACCAACGCGCCATGGCTACAAAAAAAGTGGTGACCTCTACACTCAACCAGGCTTTAAACTTACGTCCTCCGTTGCCAAAAAACACTATGGGAAACAATGTTTCTCCATATTGTATACATACAAAAGATGAGAAAGAAATGGATTTGCCACAAATAGTTGGTAAACTACAAAAGGCAAAAGAAGAATTACGAAAAAAATATAAAAATGCTCAACCAAATGAATTTGTATCTATAGCACAAGAAGCACTTAATGAAACAATTTTCAACAGTTCATCTTCTAATTTCTATATGAGTAGCACCATCAAATTCCCCATTTATGATGTTGACTTTGGATGGGGAAAGCCTGAAAAAGTTTGTACACCACTTAAAAACATGTTTATGTTGATGGATACTAAAAATAGGGATGGAGTGGAAGTAATAAGTGGCTCGAAGGAACAAGACATGTTAGCTTTTGAGAGGGATGAAGAGCTCCTACAATTTGCTTCTCCAAGTAGCTAAATCATTTTTTATCATGTCGTACTCACAGTTAGAGTACTATCGCAGTGAGTTGTGTGAAATAAAAGAGTGTTGCTTGTTTTGAAGGTGTGGTAGTCTCTTGACACTATCAAGTCGTAACTAGTGTTATTATCTTTTTACTCTGTTAAAAGATATTTGGTATTGTTGTTACTCTCTTGTTCTTGCTATTTAGCGTGGATATTATTACTGAATTAGATTATTATTTTTCAGTAACACGGTATTAGAGTCGTGACAAATAATAGTCCACTTTCTTTTTGATGTCCTCATCTCACAATAGAATATATATATTATGAAAACAGGTGTCTATGAATGAAAATCATTCTTTATGCCTTAAGATATTGGGAAAATGCATAAGTACCCCCAGCCTATGCCCAAAATCTCTGAGACACACCTAACCTTTACTAAGGTCCTATTACCCCCCGAACCTATTTTATATATAATTTTCTACCCCTTTTCGGCCTACGTGGCACTATCTTGTGGGCCCAACGCGTGTTGACAATTTTTTCAAGGATAGTGCCACGTAGGCCGAAAAGGGGTAGAAATTAATTAAAAAATAAGTTTGGGGGGGGGGGGGGTTATAGAACCTTAGTAAATGTTAGGTGTGTCTCAGGGATTTTGGGCATAGCTTGGGGGTACTTATGCATTTTCCATAAGATATTTGGTAATTGTAAATTGGAGTATACAAAACTTGGTAATAAAGAAACTTTGCCTCAAACAAGGAAGAAAGATTAACAAGTCCTCTCTCTCATCCGTCATTGTTTGCATGATGATATGTTTGAGAAGGCGACTGATGCATCCACGTGATCAAAGGAAGCTTGAGAGATTCTACAAATTTCTCCAAAGAGTTTGATAAAATGATAAAGGTAAAAGGGAAAATGCATAAGTACCCCCAGCCTACGTGGCACTATTCTTGAAAAAATTGTCAACATGCGCTGGGCCCACAAGATAGTGCCACGTAGGCCAAAAAGGGGTAGAATATTACATATAAAATAAGTTCGGGGGGTAATAGGACCTTAGTAAAGGTTAGGTGTGTCTCTGAGATTTCGGGCATAGGCTGGGGGAGTACTTATGCATTTTCCCAATTACTTCAAACTTTTAGGGATTATTTTGAATTTTTAAAAATATTGAAAGAATTCGAATCCATTTCTAATTTCTGTTCAAGAGTGATGATTGTTGTGAATCAAATAAGAAGGTAGGTGGAGGAATTAGACGATGCGTGTGTGGTAGAAAAGATCCTTTACCCTTTAACACTTAAGTTTGATTATGTGGTATTGAGAATCTAAAGATTTACTCAATGACGATTGAACAATTGAAAGGTTATTTATCAAAATCAAGCATCCTTGAAAGATTATGGAGGAAAAAAGAGTACTTATAGAGGAAATGGACAAGGAAGATGTTGTGGGAGTTGTGGAATAGGAAGAAGCTATTGTAACAACTTAAAGAATGATCATAAAAACTATGGATCATTCAAAGATCGTGGTCGTGGACAATGAGGACGTGACTATTATCAGGGTACCAACGAAATGTGGTATGTCAAATCACTACAATTAAAGAGATATTTAGTAACAATATTTATTGCCGCAAAAATATTTAGATGTAACTGAGTTAATGCCTTTGCAACTAGAGTCGCTAAAGCCTGAGTTTTGACACAATTTATAAGCTACCTTATATTGCTGATACACATATATATATATGTGATTGAAGAAGAAACCAAACACATAGTATACTTATGATTATCGATATCTAGATAAAAATAATGGTCTCAAACAGTTAAATTTCTGTGACTTTTAGAGAGATCTAAAACTTATTCACCTGACTGCTCGGCCTCTTGTTCTTGAACAATATTTCTTGCAGAATCCTCAACAGTAGTGTCACAGTTATGTAATTCAATGAAAAACACGTATTTTTTTGTACATGAACAGAGGAAAACAGATTCAAAGTGTGAAATCAACGATTCTTATACGCCATAGGCAATGCATAATAGATTGATAACATTATCTATTCCGAATAATCACATAACACGAAATAGATATTACAGTACATCAATAAATACCGTTTACAAAATACAAAATCACAAATGTATCAAATATGCTTATTGCTTAAACATGAATTTTACAAATGATCAGAACAAAAAAAAAAAAAAAAACGAAAGATTTTACTTTTCAAAATATAAATGAAAGGTTCTTCATTTGGAAGATGGCATTAGATGGTCCCTCAAAATAAGCCTGTATATGCAAGATAAAATGTAGAAATCATCATCTTAATTATTTGAAGGAGGTAAGATATAATAACAAAGACGAGAGAATCGAAAAACTGTTTACAACTTACTGTGACTTTTATGGATGTAGACATTAAGGATATTATTTCCCATGTCCTCTTGTTCTTGTACAATATTTCTTGCAGAATCCTCAGCAGTAGTGCTGCAATCATGTAACTCAATTGATTCCAAAGTACAAATTTCCCCAAAATCTGTTGGAAATTCTTGCATCTTGTAGCAATTCTTCAGAACGAGGCGTTTTAGATTTGGGAAGTTATCACTGCTAGCTTCCCAATGCTCAAGATTTAGTTTGCTCAGTAACAACAACTTCATGCTTTTGAACTTGTCTTCATCACTCAATCTCCATTCATCATTCAAGGTTCGACAATGTTTAAGTTTGAGCTCTTCAAGATTTGGCAACATCATAACAGTTGATGATATGTCTGCCCAAACAAAATGATTACACTTGCTTAAACTCAACCTCTTAAGTGATGTTGGAAAACCAATTTCTTGATGGGGTCTCCCAAATAAGGTGACCCGTAAAACTTGAATGCTTCGAGTTTTGTCAAACTGGACATATCCAATAGCCGATAGGGAAACTTTGTATCGTTAAAAGGTAGAGAAATGATCAATCTCTTTACATTGGGAATGCCAGAAAAGACTTCATTTGTACAACTCGTGCAACAAAGAATAGAAAGTTCCTCTAGATTTGGCATCCCTGTCACAAGACTTTCTGTTCTAGGGCTGGGTAAATAAGAGGGTCCTTTCAGACGTATATACTGCAAGTTATTCATCATCCATATGTTCTCAGGTAAAGTTATATCAAAATAATTACCACTACAAATTAAAGTTTGCAAATTCTGAAGCTCTGAGATTGATTCAGGAATATCTGTGTAAAATGGAACTTGGAGATATCTCAAATGAAACAACTCTGTAATCACAAGTGGAAATGATTCGAAATATCCAATTGTATTGAAGATGGCCAATACCCTGAGAAGGTTGAAACGAGAGAAAAATTCATGTATTATAGGATTATGATGGTATATGGGAAATGTGCCGAGAAGCTTATGACGGGGTTTATGAAGTAGGTGTAATCGAGAAAATAAGTGGATAGATCTGGCCACAGGGGGTAATACCTTAATGTTGGAATGTATGAGTCCACCAGTGACCAGGGTACCAGGTCCCTCAGTAGAATTATAGTGCAGAAAGTAAATATCACAATGTAAAACATGCACACGATTTTTACGTGGAAACCTCCTTGCTCAAGGGAGTAAAACCACGACCTGTCTCAACAAGACTTTTCAAACTGCTTCCACTAATCTTCTCAAGCAAAAGTAAATGCCAGTTTACAAAAAGAGATTAACCTGCTAATCTCCATACTAAGCAATACCTCCTATCACTTAGTTGAGTTAGAATGGATACCACACTGCCCACTATACTAATCCTAACCGATTAATATAGACTTTGCTAAAAGGATACCACACTGCCCACTAAATCAACTAGCTCTTAGATGACTTAGACTTTGACTGAGCAGATACAACACTGCTCACTAAATCGGCTAACTCTAACCGACTTAGACCTTTCCACACAGAAACAAATATCTGAATCCTTTATAGACTAGGAACATATTTACAATATACGCACGGAAGTATAACTCCTAAGACACACTCTGATGCTTGCAGCTTGATCAGGTCCTCGTTGTGCTTGTCGGAGAATACTTCTTGAAAGTGAGTCTTTGCAAGTGTTCTTGAGAATTTTCAAGTTGCAATAACTGACAAAACTCAAACTCAACAAAGATGCTGCAACACTTTATCAGGTCCCTTTGTTGAGCATGAGTATTGTTCTTCCTTAAAGATGACCTTATTTTAAAGCTTATGAATTTTCAGAGAAAATTCAAGTATTTGTTTGCCAAGTCTTGAGTTTGTGTATTTTGGGAAGAGACTATATAAAATTAATAAAATCAACACAAAATCGTTGAGACAACCCTATTGGCTGAAAGCTTGTTGTTCAGAAAAGTTGCTCACCTACTATATCAGAGTTGGCAGCTTTTCTGACGGCTGTTTTGTCATATTTTCATATCGCAGTCTTGCAGGGACCAGGTCCCTTGCAAACTTCTTTGTGGGTTCTTGAAAAGGCTTGCTGGCTGACTTCCTTCTTAGGATGAATGAGTTTAATATGGTGTTTATCATGTAGAAAATATCAACCATAAAAAGTTATTACCCGTTGGACAAACACCCTTGTCCATTTTGATTGGTATAGTACGCTGACTCCTCACCAACCTCTGACACGACAGCTTTACAGTTGTACCCCATTATAGATCTGGACGAGAGAACTCTGCCTGGGACCAGGTCCCTGCGTTTGTGAGACACTGAAGCATACATATCGTCCGCTCTTCATATTGGTGTAGGACACTGCACTTTTCACCTACCACCTGACATGACAACTTTACAGTTGTACTCCATTTGTATCTGGACGAGAGCACTCTGCCAGGGACCAGGTCCCTGCATTTGTGAGGATCATCAAAACACCTAGAATATAACATTTTCCCTCTTTTTGAAGATTACACACAAATATTCCTCACACTAAGTTTATTCATTCATTTCCCTGTCAGCAGTCCCAATAGCAAGGATCTGGTTCCTTGTTAGATTGATAAGTTTGTTAAATCATCAAAACTTCATATCAACTTCGAACTAACATCTCATATCAGCTTCGAACTAACGTTTTC